GGGGAAGGGCGACGCACACATAGTAGTAGTAGTATGTTGGGGTGACGCCGAAGCTCCCCCCACCCCCCTGCCAGAGTCCACTCAGATCCTGCCCGAAAGGGGGCCAAAACCCTGTCCTCGACCCTCGATCCCCTCGATCTCCTCCACTCCGTCGCCCTCCTCGAGCAGTCGACCCTGGACCCCCTTCGACTTCCTCGCGCAGGCCTCGCCCTCCTCGACCTCCCAATGCCTCCCTCGAGCCCCGAACCCTCGATCCCCTCGCCCTCCTCGGCCTCCTCGACCTCGTCGACCCCCTCGGGACCTTCGCCCCTGGACCCTCTCGACCTCCTCCCTCCAGCCGCGCCAGCTCCCCGCCTTCCTCGACTCCCCCACCGAGCCTCGAGCTCCTCGGTCCCCCCTCGAGCTCCTCGGCCTCCTCGACTTCGCCTCGATCTCCCCGTCGACATTCCTCGACCTCCCTGCCTCGAGAGAGACCTCCCTGTCGATCTCCCCTGCCTCGAGGAAGCTCCTCCCTGCCTCGACCTCCCCGTCGGTCTTCCCCTCCTCTTCCTCGATCTTCCTCGACCTCCTCGGCCTCCTCGATCACCCCGGGGCCTGCCGCCATATGAACCGTAGCCGGCAGACATCGCGGCGCCGCGGCCGCCGGAGCGGCGGCCGCCCGCCGCGCGCCCAGCCCCCCGGCCAGCAGGCTGGGCGGGTGAGGCAGCGCATCGTGCAAGCGATCCCTGCCCCCACGTCGAGTATCGGGCTGGGCGCAAGGGGGGGATAGCTAAGGGGGGGGGTGAGAATCAGCTCACGCAGCTGGTTTTCCCAGCGCCTCCCGGCGTCGGAGGCGGCCATGTATCGAGGAGTGGGCCCCTCGGTGGGGCCGAAACCAGCTGCATGCAGCAAATTTCGTACCCCCGCCCACTTTCCCTATCCCCCCCCTTCGTCCGGCCCGAGAGTAGGGGATCCGGTCGAGGGAAGAAATTGAGCAACACTCCCCCCTCCCCCCCGCAATTCCAAGTTGGCACGTACACGCATGACTGGTCCGACACTCAAGTTCGGGAGATCCGAGCCCAACGTTGCATTCGGGGGGAGGGGGTGGAGTTCACACCATGTGTTATTCGTGAATGTTGCTAAATTGTTTCCGACACCTGTCGCCTACAACATTGATTTACCCCAGAATTATTTCTTACATCGAATCCACGAGAGATGCAATGTCTCTTTCGTAGATTCGACGAGGAGATCCATGTTGGTGTAAATCGGTTCTGTGGTCGATCCCCCACTCGACACCTGGCGTGGCCGGGGCCCCGCTGGCCGATTTGCCCGCCTGCTACGGCCGAAAGCGTGATCCAGAACACTTTCTCGTGCAAGAGAGCTTGGCCAGCTTTCCCGAGGTTCCTGAAAGCAGGCCGGGGCCGATTTCTCTTGCCTACGTTCGAGGAGCGAACGTGCTCGAGAGACTGGGCCGGCCTTGCGGCAACCTGGCCAGGAAACGCGGGCCGGCTCCTCGGGAGGAGACTCCTTAATGGCATACGGGATAGAGGCGGCCCCTTCTGGGCTTCGCGGGGCACATCCCCGACTGGGGCGGCGTGAGGGAGAGACGCCTTGGCCCGAGGCGGACGAGAAGAAGTCGCCGGCCCAACGGGCCAGAGGCGTGCTGAGGTCTCCAGTGGCTACTTAACAATACTTCCAGTTCGCGCGCGCGGGGCGGCCCCTGGGGGCCCCCAGACGAAAAGTACCCCGGCCGATCCCCGGCTGACCCCCGGGCGATCCCCAGGGGGGAGGCTATTTTTCGCCACCCCTCACGAGGATCGTGGCCTCCGAGGGGGTGGCTGCAATCGACTACCCCCCCTCCTGCCCCAAGGGGCCCCCAAGAGCCCTCCAAGAGGCCCCAGGGGAGCCCAAGACGCCGCCGAGGAGCCCCAAGAGACCCCCAAGGGGCCCCCAAGAGGCCCCTAGGAGGCCCCAAAGAGGCCCCCAAGAGGCTTCAAAGAGGCCCCATAGAGCGCTCGAGGGCCGGCGGAATGAGCGAAGCGATTACTTTTGGCGCTCCGCGCGGATGTCTTGGATCCGCGCTAGACCCTTCCTCCCTGGCGTGCGGAGCGCGCCAGGGGCTGCAACGGAGGCCCCTGTGTGGGGGGGGGGGGGGGGGGCCAGCGCGGATCCAAGAAATCCGCGCGGATCGCCAACAATTTATGTTTGTGGCGTTTTTTCTCTTCTTCGAGGGATGGGGATAGCTTGCCCGATGCTTTATGTTGCATCCTCGGGGAACCTTGCCTGTCCCGTCGCGGCCCCGTCCGCGTCGAATCCGCGTCGAATCCATGTCGGACTCGTCGGATCCGTGTCGAATCCGCGTCGAATTCGCATCGAATCCACGCCAAATCCGCGTCGAGGCCGCATCGAGCCCGCGTCGGGCACAAGAAAAGCCACCAATTTTGGGGACAAGCGAGGTCACCCGAAGACGCAAGAGACCGTTTTTTTGAATCGGCGATAACCCGGGTTATCCCGGGGACCCAGGGGGGGGAGGAGGAGGAGGAGGAGGAGGAGGAGGAGGAGGAGGAGGAGGAGGAGGAGGAGGAGGAGGAGGAGGAGGAGGAAGAGGAGGAGGAGGACCGCGGACCTGCACAACCGGCAAGGTCAGGTTATCCTGGGGGGGGAGGGGGGACAAGCCCGATAACCCGGGTTATCGCCCGACCCAAAGAAAAAGTTTCCAACGTAACGGTGCTGTGAGGCGGGGAGGGGTTCTACGATATCAGGCCTCTCTAGAAGAGCAGAAAACCCCTGGGAGCCACAGCGGCTGCGGCCCCGCTCCTCTGCTCCCTCCTCCTCCTCCTCCTCCTCGCCTCCTCCTCCCTCTCCTCCTCCTCCCCTCCTCCTCCCTGCTCCTCCTCCCTGCTCCTCCTCCTCCTCCTCCTCCTCCTCCTCCTCCTCCTCCTCCTCCTCTTCCTCCCTCCTCCAGCCGCCGAAGTGGCGCCAGTGGCGCCAGGCTGTTGGCTGCACTCTCGGCGAGGCGCAGGAACGCGAGGCCGGGCAGAACCCTCAGCGCTCCGGCGAGCTCGTGGCCCGGTGGTGGGGCTCTCCGCCAGCAGCCTGGCCAGCCCAGCCCGAGGAGCCACTGCTGCCTCGGGAAGGCGGCACGGTAGGGACCCCGGGGAAGCGCAGGGAATGGCGTCGGCGTCGTGCTCGTCACCGCCGAAGGCGAGCGTCCGTCTTTGAACTTGCGCTCGCTAGCGAGTTCTACGCCCGGACAGAAAGGGGTCGAGGTCAGGACGTCGGAGCTCCAGGCGAGGGGCCGACCTCGCCGCAGTCGGGGGGGCACACTGGCGCCCGCGGGTTCGTGAGGAGCGCCCCCCTGGGAGTGTGCTCGGGAGGCCTGGACAGGTTTTCGGCAGTCCGTGCCGCGCGGTGAACTTTCGGCACCGACCTTGCTGGCGGAGCGCACGTCTGGCGATCCAGACGCAGTCGTAGATGCAGCTCATGAGATCAACAACTTGTTGTGTGAAGCCGGCAAGGAACCAACTAGTCATGCAACTTTGTGGCATCGCTTGTGGTCCTGGTTGGCTGCTCGCCCAGGGAACCTCAGGATCTTGAAGATCAATTCGCCCAAGGGGTCAGCGCCAACTGACACAGGGCGGCCTTCTGTTTCGTCTCAACGAGCGGGCAGACGAGCTCGCCGACCTAATTGCGCAACATGCGCAGATACCAGCAGCTGTGATCAGGCAGATCGACCTTGTGGATCAGGGGACCTGGAAGGTCTAACGCTGTTTGCTCAAAGCAGCGACACATGTGATTCAATAGTCTAAATCCTTGTGCGCCCCAGTGGGTAGTACAATCCAGCCCAGCGACGCAAGGCCGTGCAGCAAGCTGCCCAGAGCGTCAGCCGAGCCAGGCTAGGGACGCAGTACCTGTTGGCCACAGGCCGAGATAGATGCGCGAAATGTTGGGCGAAACATGGATCAGGAGTGGGGCGCCTACGGCAGGTTCGTGTCGCGACAATTGCGGCCTTGGTTTCTGCCATCGCGTGGATCGTTCAACGATGAAAGATCGGCTGCTTTTCGATCGCCAGATCGTTCCACATTGGCCGATTCTAGGCCGCTGGCGGCGTTCAACCTTGAACAGCCGCGGCGGAGTCGCCGCCGCGTCGACACGACCCGAACCTGCCCTACAGTGGTTTCGTCCCCCGTGCTCAAGACCCCCACTGCCTTCCACCCAGAGTACGCCCTCTAACAGCACAAAGGTGCTTGTGACTCTGCACAATACCAGCTGGTGGTGCTCGACTGCGGCCACAGCCGTAGATCTCGCAGATCCCTGCCGCAGTCGCCTCAACAAAGACGCAAGCAATGGGACACACAAGGACATACTGGTACAATGCGCCCCCCTTGCAGGCGCACGTACGAACCGAACGCGTAGTACAGCAACAACCTGATACATCGCCGCCTGGTGGCATGGCCAGGATGCGCCCGCCAACTACAACATGTCTGAATGCGCGCGGTACCCCTATGGGGGGGGGGGGGGGCAACGCCAACATACTATGACAAAGTGCTGGTGCTGTCGACAAAACGGTCCTCCAAAATGCCTTGGGTGACAAGCACCCCAAAGGGTGCCATACATGGCCAGAGCCGGGTGGGGCACAGGGCCTCGGGCTAGTCGGTGATCTGTGCCTGGCAAGTCCTGCGCCCGAATTTTCGAATGAGTCCCCCGATGCGGCACCCGCATGGTGGCCAGAGAACTGCCACCAGCGGAGCGTTGGACTCGGCAAGGTCAGGGAAAGCAGATAAACAGAAGGTCGACGACGACGAGGATCAGGGCTCGTGGAGGGACAGGGGGGAAGGGCAAGAGGGGAGGATCATCGGCACGATTAAAAGGTGGACCAGCAGCAGGGCGACAGTGACGAGGAAGAACAGCAGCAAAACCAGTAGGGTGAAAAGTGAAGGAAGAGCGAGGAGGATCAGCAACATGAGGGATACAAAGAAGAGGATGAGGAGGAAGATGGGGAAGAGGTAGAAGGTGGAGGAGGAAGAGGAGAAAGAGGAGGAGGAGGAGGAGGAGGAGGACCAGAAGTACCAAGAAAGGCATGAGCTCACTGGCAGGATGGTTTCGCATTTCTGCGCCGACCTTCGCCAGACGGCTGGGCGGCTCAAGCTGATGCCATTGTCGCTATGGCGATGTAGGCCAACGAGCCGAAGGCCGTGAACAAGAAGGCGTGAAATGCCGCGAGGTTCCCCTCCCCGATGCATTTGCCTGTCTAGGAACACTGAGGGTCCAGGAAGAGGAACAGGAGGAGGGGGAAGAGGAGAAGGAGGAAGAGGAGGAGCATGAGGAGGAGGAGGAGAAGGCGGAGGAGGAGGAGGAGGAGAAGCAGGAGGAGGAGGAGGAGGAGGAGGAAGAGGAAGAGGAGAAGCAGGAGGAGGAGGAGGAGGAGGAGGACGAGGACGATGAGGCGGAAAAGGAAAAGGAAAAGGAGGAGGAGGAATATGAGGAGGGAGATACTAATAAGAAGGGAGGGGGAGGAGGAGGAGGAGGAGGAGGAGGACCAGTGTAAACCCAAGAGTCATCAACGATGTTGAAATATACCCTCCCTCCAAGCGCCCTCTTCATAGGCCCCTACAACGGTTCATGTTGTCTGCGGCAACTGCCTCGTTGGAAGACAACGGCTTGAAGACCCTGAGGCATGCCAAAACATTTTCTCTGTATTCCAACGTCACGGATCAACTTGACTGCTGCGTCTTGACGATCCTGAGTCGTGCCATCACGCCATGGGACTTGAACACCGTGATTCAACATAACTGTGGCACCCTCATAAACCAGAACCCGTCCAAAACACAAATTCTGGTACGCTGACCATGGGATTCCGTGAAACTCCTGCGATATATTAAGACGAGTGCGCGCGGCGCTAAAGCGAGAACACATGTTGAAAAGGAACCGCCCTCAATCCGCAAAACTCTTGCAATTGTTTAAAACGAATGCGCGCGGCGCTAAGGCGAGAACCACATGTTGCAAACCACTCGCCCTCAATCCGTGGAGCTCTTGCAGATTTTTTAAAAGAATGCGCGCGGCGCTAAGGCGAGAACCACATGTTGAAAACAACTCGCCCTCTCAATCTGTCAAACACTTGCAAACAGTTAAGAGGAATGTGCGCGGCGCTGAAGCGAGAGCCACATTTTGAAAACGACCCGCCCTCCATCTGTGAAGCTGTTGCCAATGTTTAAGCTTCAGGGTCATCAATGGGGAAGAAGTCTCAGGCGAAACGCCCGGTCCGCCCTAAAAACTGGCCTCGGAATGCGACATGGAGAAATTATTTACAAGGAAAAAGAATGGAGGATGAGGAGGAGGGAGAAGAGGTGAGGGTGAGGAGGACGAGGAGGAGACGAGCGTACGAGGGGGGGTCGTCTCAACCCTACCATCCACCTCGCCTCATGGGGCGGGGCGACGGACCGGTGGCGGGCGCTCCTGGCCTGTCTAGCGCTTCTTCGCAGACGTCGCCGACGGGCGCAGCGGCTGTTAGTTACACTCAACGCAGAGCGGCCACGATCGGCCGACGGCGAGCGGAAGTGAGTGGCAGAAGTGAAAAGGGACAGGGGCGATGGATGAAGCAGGGGGCAACGGAAGAGCCGAGCGCCCGATGCACGAGTGAACCTGCAACCGAGCGGGGGAGCAGCGGCAACAGCAGGGCTCGGGTGCGACGGACAGGGGCAGAGAAACGCACTCTGATGCGGGGCAGAAGAGCCGCGGCGAAAGCCTTAGGTCGGGCGACGAGGGCAGGGCGATGAAAGCTATACATAGCCACCGCTCCCTGGCCAGGCACATCGTGAAGCCAGCAGCGGTGTATACGCCTTGCCCCCCTGGCTCGTCCAGGGGGGCGCATACACAGCTCCTGGGTTCAGGATGGGCCTGGCCAGGAGGCAGTTATGGATTTCGTCGCCCGAAAGGACAGGCTCGCAGGGAGCAGTCGACGAGATGCAAGGCTTAGGTCGGAAATGTCCCCCTACAGGCGGATCTTGGACGAAAAATAAAACATACTCCAAGAATGCTCAAACATAGTCAAAAACAGAGAACAAATCGTCCCCCTATTATTTTTGACTACATTTGAACATTCCTCCCGTAGAGGGACATGCCCGACTTAACGAGACTCTTCGTGACCTCCTCGAGCTCACCACGAAGAGCACCGACGGCAACAAGCTGATCGGCGAAATCGGCGGTCGGGAACCGGGAGGCGCCGAGCTCGTGCAGCCACTTGGGCCCTGAAGCCGACGGGAACCGCCATCGATCCTCGGCTCGGCCGATGCTGGCAACAGTCTGTACAGCATTCGGCCTGACCCAAGGAACGATAAATAAGGAACAAAGCCCCTTTTCCCCAAATAAATCTAGGCAGTCCGAAGGAACACCAGGGGGGCTCGCCACCAATAAGGTAGCGGAGCGCATGCAAACCAAAGGAACGACCGAGCATCTTTTGAAAAGTAAGTGTCCCTTATTCGAGCCACGTACGAGGGCGGCGGCCTGGGCCACCACCTGCGCGCGCATCGCATCGAGGGAATCGAGCAAGAACTGATGCTTCGCGTCGACCGCAACAGACGGGGATTCCGTGAGCTCTGCCATAATGACCACCTTCACCCTCGTGAACTCCTCTTGGCACAGCTGTCGGAGGTGTTCATCTGAAACGACTCCATCTTCGCCATCGACAATGAGATCCGGGTCGACGTCCGCTCCAGCACTGCCCCTGGATCGCGAGACACGGGGACGCTTCATTTCACCACCGCCACGTGAATCACCACCCTTACCTTTCCCAGATGCGCGCGTGCTCCTGAGAAGTGCAGGTGCTGAAATCGTCGAGGGCTGCAGCCATCTTAGCATCTTAGCATCACCAGCGCTGCCAGCAAAAAGAGCCATGGCCAAGAGCGCAGCGACGGGACGCCAGACAATGGGGCGGACCAGCGCGAGGCACCGGTCAGGTTCGACTAAGGGTGAATGTTACCGCAAATCAGCAGAGCCCACTTGTCCCATTGAGGAACTCATAATTTCGAGAACAACTGCTACGGAGGACGAAAAGGTGGAGGAGGAGGAGGAAAAGGAGGAGGGGAAGGAGGAGGAGGATGAGAAGGAGGAGGAGGAGGAGGAGGAGGAGGAGCAGGAGGAGGAG